TTAGAAGATTCACTCTATCAGAAAATGCAGGCAATTCCTACATTCTTCATGTATTGAAGATATGATCATAATGCAACATGTTTTAGTGATAAATGGAGTTTATTAAAATGATAAAGGTATATGGAGCAATAAGTAAGATACAACAAGGAGCAAGACATCTCTGAACTAATTTTTAAACCATTATATGACAATTCATGTCCATTTTCTGAATATCTGAACTGTTATTAAAAAGAATATTGACAACTAACTTGAAGACTTTTAAACTCCCTGCCACATCTGTCCTCTGTATTCCACAAATCTGTCCTCTTTAGAAAATTTATGGCTGACAATGTTTTTAAACAAAAATCACTATGCAGTCTCAGGGTGCAGTTTCTCTAATATGTTTAATTTGATAATAGCCAATTTGTAATAAAGTTATACTGAACAAATTAACAACTTGAAAGTAACAACATATAACATCAATTCTAGAAATTATGGTTAGTATCATATGATTTTTCATGTATTACTTAAGATTTTTTGAAAGAGGAAAAAATTGTTTATTTTTCAGTTACTGTGTCACATTTTTATGTTAGTGCATTTAAGCATCTAATAAGTAAGATTACACACACATACATATATATATATCTTGATTAAAAATGAATCTCAAAAGGATTTATTACCAGTCCATGCTGCATTTGGCACATAGAGAGCTCTGAATTCCTAAGTTAGATCTCTTTTGCTGTTAGATTTTAACACCTTCGACGACAAGCACTACATTTAATTTATCTTTATAATTCTTTTCTTACTTCCAAAATCAAACAATGAAACGTATAGTTAAAAAGTATTTAGCAGTGATTTAATGAATAAAATTGAATAGAATGGGGTAGAATAATGTCACAAAGGATGAAAGGAATTTAGTTCAGAAGAGTGTAATTAATTAAATTAGATTAAAATAAAAATGGAATGAAATGAACTATATTGAATACAAGAAAATATTGCCATTCCTTCTTCCCTTCCCAGCATCTAAACTTGATCTCTTCCCAATCATCTGCTAAAATATATAGTGATCATAAGACACTCTTTCCTGTCACCTATTGCAGTAATTAAAGTAGGTGACATTGAAATAAGTCAAAGTATTTTATCAATTTTGCTGTTGGTAATATTCATTAATATCTTCGTCTCTTGTTTTCACCTTTATACATTACCATTTCCCTATTGTACAATAAATGACTGACCTGAGATGGTACATGTGAAATCCTCCAAATGATGTTCAAAGTGTTGAAATTCACAAACAGGAGTCATGGTATCTACTCCCTGAAATGACTGCTGTAGAGTCACCAAAAAGTGGTAGTATTTAAGGTTCAGGACACAAACAGTTTTTACTGTGTCTCATCTTTTACAACCTAGTGAGGATAGTGACACCCATACCACAAATTGTTTAAAGATCCACTGTGTTATATATAAGAAGCTTAAAGTATTGTCTGACCCCTAATTAGAAGTCAATTCACATTATTGTCTATTAACCTTAGTGTTCTCTGACATTACCTCCTCCTTTTATCTAATTCCACATACCATTAACATAGATATGCATAAGAGTCACTAACAAAGGTACACAAGTGTAGGTATGTATGTATGTATATGTGCATTACCCATTTCACATATTTCAGATAGTTTTGTTTTGGAGCATGCTAAGGTGATCAAACAAACCAAGTATCTGCCCATTGGATGCAAACTTATAGTGCGGAGGTAAATCTGTCTTTGTCTTCACTAAGAAACCAATGAGCAAAATAATTTTATGTGTTAAAGATTTCGTGAAAGTAATCATAATCAGAAAGGAAGTTCATGGTTTACAATTCTAATAGGATAAAGAAAAGAAATCTTAAATTTTGGAGGTAATGACTAAGCTCACATGTAGCGGATGTACAGGTACCAGCCATTTAAAGTTTAAGGAAAGAAAAACATCCATTAAAGGAGAATAGCACTTTAGCACTGGAAATACCTTAAAGTATTCAAGTAACACAAAAATAATGAGTGCAGATGACACGTGATGAATTAGCTGCATGTCTTTCCAGGAAAGAAAGTGGAGACAGCATGATTTGAGACAATACTAGAACATAAGGCAAGGACCAAAATGTGTAAAACTTTCTTAATTATGGAGTTTGGGTTTAATTCTAGGTTAAAGGGAAAGCTATTAATTTATTTCATCATATGATCTAATTTTTGGAAAGGTTTTTCTGATTGTTGGATAGAAAATACATTGTAAGAATGTGTGAGCAAAGGATCATGAGAGGCAATGCAATAATTCTAGTGAGGGATAATAGAACCTTGATCAGGATTTGATGACAGAAAGTGCAGGTGACCTGCTCTGTGGTGTGCATGGGTTAGCAGTGATAAACCAGGTTTTGTTTATGTTTTAAAAATGGAAGTATACCAGAGAATTTTGGTATGCTTGTGGAAATAACCAAACAAAGAAAAAATATTGATATAGAAAGAGGACTGAAACAAAGTCATCAATCCTTCTGATTAACATCCCTTATGACCCCAGAACATCCACCAATTTCCTAGGATGGAGAGAATGGTTAGTGAAACCTTTACCAAAGTACTACCCACCTATTACCTCCAAACAAGAGCTAGAGGTACCCCCAGAGCAGGAAAGGCTGTGGGGCTCAAGCATGCCAGAAAAACTGAGAGTGAACTGTAACAGTGCCAAAAGGATGGCAGAAGCTTCAACTTCTTGCCACATTCTCCCACGTAACTGTTAGCACTCTTTCAGTCTGCTTTGGGCCACCTTAACAGAATGATTGCTTTTTAAATTGTTCCGGGGAGGAAAGTTCAGCCCATTTGTCCCTTAGGCCAAAAACTTGTGACTGCACCTGTCACCTCTGACCATCAGCTGGGCTGTGTCCAGCAGGTCCTAATATTTCTTCCTCCCTTCTTCTCTGAAAGGAACTTGGACTTCCTTCTCCTCAGAGCTCTTTTAATAGGAATTCCCTGAGTCAATACTGCTTGACAGTTTGAGGATAAACTCCTAAAAATCTAATTAAAACCAAAAGAGTCCCAGTATCTTATTATTTAGGGGTGATGAGATGAAATTAGAAACAGTACTGAACCAAAACTTTCTTCAGTGTCATCTACAATAAATAGAAATATGGCTGAGGGACCTGTGACAGAAATAGCTCTTTTGACCTTGCTGATAGAAAACCACATTGAGGAAAGACAGTACATCACATAGGCTTGAATAAAAGCAGTTCCAAATTAATCTGTGGTCACATAGGACAAAGATCAGATATTCAAGGGGCACAGATCAGGCCCTGCAAGCCTAGGGTATACCTTGCACGTCACATAGCTATAATGTATTACTTTAAATGCCTGACATTCTAGAGTGAGGCAAAGAAAAGTTAGCTGCAGTGGCTTTGGAACTCTGATATATCATGTTAGCTGTTCCCATATTCACATTATTTTATTTCTTGACGTGTGAGGCACATCACGCAAGAGTAATTACTACTACTAGTGATTTGCCCTCCAGTGTCCTCTGACCATAAACTATTTTATGTATCTAATTCAGTAAAACTGCCATCAGTTCCCTGATGAATGATTGCATTGTAAAAGGGATTATTCTTACACATTTGCCAAACTAGCAGTTCATGTGGGTATCCATGGCTGCATTATGGATGCTGATATAAAATGGTAATAATTCAGGAGAGAGAAATGCCTCAGAGTGATTGGATACATTGCCTGAAAAGAAAGTACTTACTATCCCAACCTTGTACTGAGCTTCATGGGTTGCCCCAAAGGCATAGAAGGATGGCTGGAAGTTGTCATTTGACAGCCATCATAAAGTAACACTGTTGCTGCAGACAGTGCTTAGTTTTCAAATAGCAAACTCTAGCCCCTTGATCTATGGTGATCTTCCACAAGAGAATCTGCAGAAACAAGATACCCTCCCCCCCACACAGACATCCAATGAGCCAACTTGTGGTCAGTGAAACAAAATGATGCTTGCTGGTGTTTTGGGGTTGAGCTTTTGGTGTCATAATAAAAAACAGAAGTTCTTATCCAGGTTTTCTATCACATTGAAAATGATTAACCACTTGAAACAATTCAAAAAGACACTATATGTCCAAGGACTACCCATCATGTCACAGCAACTGCATATTATGTAAAACATAGAAGGGTTTCAAAGTCAGAAGGATGAGCAATTAAATTTCTTGTATGTCATATAATCTGTTGTATTGTGAACTGGTCTCTTAACCACTATATTGCTTTTCCCATTGAAGTTTACAATAATTTTATTTCAGTATATTTTAGGGTGTTTTAAATAATTTAGGTAATTGAAATGGCATATACTGACTGCCATTTATTTTGATACATATTTTCCTCATGGTGATTTAGACAGTCTTCAAGCCAATAAAAACATTATTATATATATTTGGCCATTTGGCTATCTACCTGCCCAAGACCTTACATCTTACAGCAAGAAAAATACTGAAGAGCAAAGACCTGACACCATTAACTAGATACAACAAGAAACTCCTCCAAATATTTCTTTCTCTTCGGTAAAGGTACCACATACCTGTTCAATTAAGAAAACCATCCTTATAACACAGAACTTTTTTTTTATTTTTAAGTAGAGCCTAGAACACTTAGCCACTAATAATATGTTGAATGGCAGAGCTACATCCTCAGATTATGCCATGAATTCATAGAGAACAGGTTCCAGCACCTCTGGCTCCCTTCCACAGGTTCTCAGAAAGTGGGCTTCTCTGGGTGGGGCAGGCTGGCACCTCAGTTTAACCAAGGTACCTTTCTCTTTGTCTTCCTTCTTTTCTGGATTCTTTTCCTTGACACGTTTCAGGAAGTCATCTCTTGAGTGCGTCACATGCTCAGTATACATATTAATCCTCTAGGCAAGTATCTTGCCCTCAGTTTGCTTGGTTACAACAATGCCAACAGCACGCTGGGTAACACTGTAGACTCTCAGTTTCTCCATGGTAACCTTTGTGTGGCATTCCTACTGTGAACAGTGTCCACTCCCTTGATGTCTGTAGTATCACCCTTCTTGTACATTCACATGTATGTGGTCAAAGAAACAACCAGTGTTTTCTAAAAGGCTTAGAGAACATACAGAAGATCCCCCTTCTCTTACAGTAAGTTGATTTTCCAACTTTGATACAGCCTCATAGTTCTGAAAGAAACCACACTTAGAATATATTTGTCAAAATGTTCAGGTGATCAGTTTTCAAATATATAATATCATCTATAAGTGGTGTAATTTTACTTTTGTTAAAATTTGTTTTGAATTAAATGTTATATTGTAAATTTTGAAGCTTTGCATAGTTTCCTATAATTTAAGAAAATTTTAAGAACCCAGAAATTCTCATTTTCTTAAAACTTTTATGGAAAAAAATATCATCTGAGTCCACTGTCTTTTAAGAAGAAAATACTTGATAAACTCTTATTCTTCCTTCCCCATGGTTATTTCCCTATTCAGTGTTTTCACTTCTCATTTTTATTATTTTAAATTTTTTTGAAAAATGATTCCTTTCAATCTCCTAGTCACTCAGGTTACAAAACCTATAGTTCTAAACTCTTTTTACTTGCTCAAAAATATGAGCAAGTCCTATTAGTCTTTCTATTAACAGAGTCAATTTCTTTTACTATCATTAGGTAATATACCTTCAGTAATTCACAATTCTTAGATCTGAAGGATGGTTAATATTTTTAAAAGTTCCTTGGGCAGGGGCTATAGCTCAGCAGAACGACACCTGCCTGGTGCAAGCACAAGGTCCTGAATTTGATTCAAAGTTGTTATGGTTTGTCTGGATGTCCCCCCCATCCAAAGCCTGATGCAGTCATGGGGTGGGTTTCTAGATTTTTGACTGATTCATGGTCCAATCTTGGAATTATGGATGAGAGTGCTACACCCACCCTGGGATGGGTAGTTTGCACACAATGTAAGGGAGGGAAAGAGGCTGTTTGTCACGCTCCTCCCCTTTTGCTCTAGTTGCTTTTGCTGTCTTCAGCCGCTATGAACTGTTGCCCTCTGCCATGTGCCATTCTGCCTTGGAGCCAGCTGAGTACAGACTGAAACCTCCACAAACTGTGAGCTAAATAAACCTTTCCTTCCTTAATTTTGGGTGTCAGGTATTTTGTCTCAGCAACAAGAGAAAACTAACCAAGACACCGGTACCTAAAAAATAAAAACAATTCCTTATATATTGGGCAAGAATGTTCACATGATCCTCATAAAAACCTCCATACACTAGACATTACAAAATGAGAAGAAACTTCAACAGGAAAGAGAAATTGGGATGGGGGACATGCAAAAAAGAAGGAAGGGAAAAGAAAACAGAAAAAAAATTATGTATGTATATGATAGTTAAAATTGTTATACTACTAATCTCTCAGTTCATTGAAAACACAGGTTTGTGCTAATATTGTTTGGACAATTAAATGCCAATATCTTGTACTCTGAATAACTAATTTAAAGATAACAATATGCAATGTATTAACCATTGTTACCCTCCTATTACCTTTCTTTGAAATTTTGTTTTGTTTTTCTGTTTAAAATAAGTTTTTTAAAAAACTCCATAAACTTCTGATGAATGAATTTTGACTAGTTTTGACCACCAGAGCTTCCCTGCTAGGTTGTATAAGTAAAAAGGTGCAAGCTTAGGCTTAAATAATGATAGAGACCAGTTTACAGAAATCTAAGGAAGGAACAGTCTAGGCCGAGAGTTAATAAGTACTGTGTTTCTCAGTTGAGAATGAATTAAACAAATATAGGCACGTAAGGTTGATCAAACAATTAAACATTAACCGTTCCTTTCCATAAAGCAATAGAAATCAGTAGTACAACTATCTTAGCCAACCTGTGTATACATACACACATATTTTTTCCCTTCTTTCTTTCTTTTCCCTTTTCTCTCATCCCCATTGTTCCATCCTTTGAGCAATTTCTTTCCATTTCACAATATCTATTATGCCTTTTAGATTTTATTCACTCTTTCAATTTCTTACACTAGGGAGACAATATGGTGTTTACACATGTGGGCCTGGTTTATTTCACCTATGAGTATGGTCTCTAGTTGTGTCCATTTATCTATAAAAGCCTCAAGTTTATCTTTCTTTGTAGCAGAGTAATATTCCATTATATAAAAATACCACATCCTTTTTATCCATTCCTCAGTTGCTGGGAATTTGTTGTTTCCACAATTTAGCTATTATAAATTGCACTGCTATAAACATGGGTGCACATATATTGTTGTGGTTTGATGTTTTTAGTTCTTCTACAATAATACCCAGAAGAGAAACAGCTAGGTTGAAAGGGACTTCTAATCCTAGTCTACTGGGTAATCTTGAGACTGATTTCCACAGTGACTGCACCAGTCTACATTCCCACCAACAGTGGAAAAGTGTTCCTTTATCCCCACAGCCCCTCCAGCATTTGGTATTCACTCATTTCTTGGTGATAGCCATTCTTTCTGGTGTGAGATGGAATCTCAGTGTTGTTTCAATTTGCATTTCTTGAATGACCAGTGATGTTGAACATTTTTTCATGTGTTTATTTGCCATTTGTATCTCTTTACCTGAGAAGTCTGTATTTCATTCTTTTATCTTTAAAATAAAATTTTTAAAAAGAGAGAATAAATTAAACTATATTGACAATGTTGGAAGTGGACTCTGTTTACTAGAATGTAAAAAATGAGGGCAGAGGAAAACATTGCATAATGAAAATGGAATGTAAGCATATCTTTACTGGGTATGGAATTTTAAGTTGACAAAGGTTTTTTTTTATTCTTTTAGAGAGCTGTTTTGTAAATTCTTGAGATGCTACTGCATAGCTAGCTTTGCTCTCAATAAGAATTCTGCAATAATTCTGAAATTTGTCATTCGGTATGTGTCTTTTTTCCCTTCTGCTTTAATTATTTCACTTTTATCACTACTTTTAAACAACTGGGTTGTGGAGTGCTTTATTGTAGATATTTCAGGTCCTCTGCTTTGAGTTCATTGAGTGTCTTGGATCAGTGTGTTTATAGTTTCAATCAAATTGAAAGGCTTGGTCATCAACTTTAATTTTTTCTGTTTTATCCTCCCTCTAATTACCTACACACCCAAGTAATTTTATTCTACAGGTCTTCTGCATACTCTCTCAGATATAAAAATGAGCCTTTTTACTCTGTGTGGAAATATGAATGAAACCTAGCCTTGTGTGAGTTCCAGGGGTTGTTCTCGTGTTTATTTCTGGACTTCTTTCTCCCACTTCAGTATCTCCTAATCAGAATGCAGATAAGGACTCAGGAGAAACTCCTCCCACATTTCGACAGCTCTACAGTAGCTTTCTCCTTAAACTTCTGTTTGTTTCATCCTCAGAACTCTGAACTCTTTTTCTACAGCTGAGGGAGACCACAGACTTAAGTTTGCTGATCCCCCCCCCTGAGTTTGGGCCTAGCAATTCCCTCTGAGCACTAACTACACTGCTGCACCTAGAATGCTCAAAATTTTTTGTTTCCCTTCTGTTCTGAATTACTCTTATGCTGTTCTCTCCATAATGTCTAAATATATTCTCACATAGATTTTGCCTACTACTTTAGTTATGTAATGTGGAAAGGTAGAGTATGTCTCTCTTATTAATTTACAAAGGAAACAAAAAGTCTCATCAATGGAGTTTGGATTAAAGTACCATTAAATGGTCACCTTTTGTGAAGTGTTAAGCCAGAGTGTGATATTAGGTGTGTTCTTTTTTTCTTTTTGTTGGTATATGTTTATGATACACAACATCACATTTGTTTGGAGAAACTAGGATATATATGTCATATTTTGATCATTTGTATCCCATTTCCACATAAACACTTCCCTCTCCCCTTCTCCTGATTCCATCCCCTGTCTCCAAGATGTCTGCCTCCTTGCCTCCTAAAATCTCCTTTATTTTACTTGTTTAAATTTAACAGAGAATGAAAACCTAGGTTTGTTTTTAACATCATTTTTCTTAGAAAAGAATAGGTTTGAGGACTAGAGTGAGAAAAGAGAGATCAAGTAGGGGTTTATTGCTCTAGTACAGGATGGCGATACTAATTTTTTGGACCAAGTCCATTGAGGTAAAGGTAATAGAATTAGATGCTTGGGGATATTATTAGCAACAGATCTCACAGATCCTACTGTGTGACTGGATGTGGAGTGGAAGAAAATAAGAGTAACCAACACAAATACACACTTTCAGGCTAAGGTGGATGAATAAGGATGCCATTTGCCACTCCTCTGAGCTCAGAGGAAAACAGTAGCTATAGAGCTTGGAGAAGAGTTGGAATTTATTTTTTATAAATTTGATTTCTCAACTGAGAAACTCAACCTATACACTTTTAATTTTATTGATTTTATTTTTCATCTTATTGTATTACTACTTTCTTCTACTCATGCTTTGTGTGACAATTTGCCTCCTCAATTGCCTTTTGCTATGCAAATGTTGTTTTCCTTCCCCTCTAACGCTTTTACATTTTCATCATTAGCTTATATTCTTTTGGAGGTTAGTCCTGAAATGTGTACTCTCATATCATTGTCAAAACTTACTCAATATGTATAGCTGGCAAAGAGGTTTCTAAAACACATGTCTGAACATGTTGTGCTTTGCATACAATTCTTTAATAGTTTCTCCTGCCTGAGGAAAAAATTCATAACTGCAATTCATCTTATGTCAGAAGTTTACTTCTTACCAATTTCATTCACAATGCTCTCTAAAAGAACAGAAGTTTTCAACTGCCTTTATAAAGTCCCAAAATATGATGGCGCATTTTCTTTATTTTTTGACACCTTCTTGCAGTAGCAAAGGCTTCACACTCAATTTTTCCCCATGGCACTGAGACAAAATGACTTAGCTGACAAGAAGTCAAGAACCTGAGCATTTTGTGGTACCTGTTTTATTGACTCTAGAAAAATGGCACTATTTTTAATTTTTTATTTAAAATTTGGCAGAGTTAAGAAATCAGTTCTTGATTAAATTAATTACAGTTAAAGTATTAAATGGCAAGAATGTGTACCTCTCTTTGATTATATCCTGTTTTTCTTCTCTTTATGGTGGTGTTCTTCTACCTAAGCACTATGAATACAATGTAGGCATTTTCCGATGTAGAGCAATCTCGGAAGTGGGATACAAAGAAAGCGAGTTGAGAATAACGTAGGTAATTTCTCTAGCTTTTCCTTTAACCACATGTTTTTAAAAGCAATGCATCTGATAAAGTTGTAGCTACGATTTTTCTATCTTTTAACCATGAAGTCAAAAGTCCTATAGCTATAGTTATGGGAAAGAAAAAGTAGCAGGAACTGGGCTCATCTATAAGGATATTCCTTACCTGAAGATCTTTCTGACCATTAGTTTTTGAAGATTACAGATTGTGTTTTTCCATTTTCCAGTTGAATAGTTAATCCCCTTCACAGCCCAGTCAATACACATTTTTCCAAGCCTAAGTCTCAGATCAGACTGCAGACACCTAAAATCTATTCCATTTTCACTATCAATTCTCAGTAAACGTAATTCTATATGACACCATTAGAGATATTTCATCTCATGGTATTGTGGAAATTAAGCTTACCATTTACATCTAAGTATTTATGGTTCCTGACACCAATCAGTAAATCCTGTCTGAAATGTTTCCCTGTCACCAAACCTGCATGAGAATCCTAATTATCAATGTTCTTAGTACTGATTGAAATTAAAAGTGATGTTGATTGATTTCAGCAAACATTTCTAAGTTAAGGTACTTTCAGGAATTGCTACCCTTGTTAGAAATGTTGTGGCAGGAGAAATCAAACATGTTCCCAAGACTTACATCTCTTCACATAGTATATACCGTATAAGGGTGTTTCTGTCCTTGCTCTCAGAGTTCTGTCTCTTGTACTGACAGATGTCTCTGTTAGCTGAAACTTTTATTCAATGTGTAATACTGTTGGATTTTGGTAAATGCAAGCATAATGACAGTTTTCTCTGGCATTTCTGAGCTGGCTCCCAATTAACTTCAGTGGAATCTTTGCTATTTCCAACTCTTTTGATACAAATTTATGAGAAATCTCTGATTTCAAAAATGACCAATATATGTAGTGTGTATCAGTTTTATTGCCAATTTCAAACATGAATTTTGTTTGTGTTTTTAAAATTGAAATTCGTTCCATGGTAGATATTAATGACAATTGATAGATTTTTTGAGAGTATGATTTTACAACGTCTCTATAGTCTCTAAAAATTAGCTTTACTATGTTCAACAATAAATTTCATAATTTTTTCATGCACTATACCTAAAATGTTTAAGAAACATGAAAGGTGGAACTTAACCACGCTTACTGTTGTATTGTTATACCAAAGGAAAAGGACAGTGTTCCTCTTATTGCCTCCTGCATTAAAAGAAATCCTATGAAAGAGCTTCCTTTTGCTCTCTGTAACTGTAAGTCTGGAGATGCCATAGCTGCCTTGTCCTCCACTGGGACATATTTGATATGAGTATATAGTTGCTCAAAATACCTAGACAGCAGAAAGCTTCACTTGTTAGTTCAGTGCAGTAATTTAAAGATTTCAGGGGTCAGGCTAATAAGTTCTTTGATCTTCTTATTTTACATGCAGAAAAGCAACTGACAGCCCTCACAGCACTGTTTCACCAATGAAGAAGAATGAGTAGAAGGAGGAAACACCAGGAGCTTCTGACTACATCTTACTGGTGAGAAATGTGTTGCAAGTGTCCTTACCGCAAAACAGTCTGAGAGGAAAAACTTGGCTGCACAGTCTCTACAGTAGAACAAGGAAGACAAGAGGAGAGTTGGAAATGTTTGTTGAGTAAGCCAACCTACAACATCTGCCAGTTTTTCTTTTAGAGATTTAATTTCAGACCTCATTTCAAGATGGTTTCTCCCTCCGCTCATTTTCAGTAGCTGCAAATGTACAAGAAGGAAATTTGCTGAAAAATAAACTCAGATAAAGAAATGGATGTTTTTGGTTTTTATATAAAAGGATAAGTGATTTAGATGATAGTGTCAAAAATCTTTCTTAAAAAAATCACTGTAAGGGAAAAGTTCTAGTCCCTCACTCTGGAGCTGACCTTATACTCCCAGCTGGATATCAGCATGGAGACAGGATGATAAATGCATTATATGTTATGTTCTTTACTCTTTTGACTACAGCGTCTATTGTGGTTGCCCATTTCCGTCTTACCATTATATGTCAAGGTGGAAGGGGTACATAATTTCTCCCTTTACTTTAGATCAGGAGTAACCACACTTAAGAAGTTGTATACTCAAGGAGCTGTAACTGTGGGGCCTACTGACACTGGGAGCTGATTAGGTTGATGTTGTAATTGGATCTTTGAGTCAGTGAATACTCCATATAAAGAAAAGTAAATCGCTGCGC